GGGCTTAAAACAAACATGTCACAGGATGAAGTGGTTTGCTTGCAATCCCATTGCTTTTTCTAAAACAGACTCAAAGGCTTCTTTTTTGCTCAAGGTAAAGGTACAAAGCACCTGTATTCCTCCACTCCCAAAGAATTCAATTAATGTGTGGCCACATCTCTCTCTTCCACTTGCCTAGGAAGCCAAGAAGGGATGATAGGATGGTAAGTCTGCTGGTTTTCAATGGTACAAAGAGGTCATCACTTCCAAATCATATGTGACCAATGGATTTCAGTAAAATACTGAAAATAACAGAGCTGAAAAGTGCAAAAGGAAAAGCAGCTCCTACCTCCACAATATGATTTTGCATCACAGAGTCTGGATTAAGGCACTAAAGTTTTATGCATTTATTCTATGGCCATACAGACCCTTTCTGCTTTTCCTCCCACACAGCTGATACGTCCTCTTCATGGAGGGACTTTTTCACAAGCCTTTTCTCAGAGCACATAAATAAAACCCAGTTTCCACCCTATCCCTGCAGAATCACACATACAGGTTCCCACACCACAACTGCTTATCTAGCTCATCTTGACCCAGCAGCCTCCCACCAGCTCTCAGTCCCTGAACCCAGCTCTATTTAGAAGCAGCTGTCAGATGACAGACATTTGTAAAGTCAGGTGGAAACAATCTCACCAGAACTCCTCTCCCCACCTAAGCCACTCTCAGGCTGTGGTCATCTCTGATCAGTTTTTGCTGGGAGAACACAAGCTGATTGCCCGCACAAAGCACGGTCAACGTTTCTTGGTGATACAACTGAAACCATGGAGAAAACTCATTACAAACTCTTATGGTTTGTAACACCACCTTCCTCCTTCTCTCCCTCTGCAGAAATGCTGCCTTCTGTACACATGCAGCCTCCCAGGATGCTCTGTTCCACCACATCACTAAAAAGCAAGAGTGAGATTCATATCCTGGGACTCTTAGAAACTACATGCATGTCTATAAACTTTTACATCCTCAGCCCAAGTGCCACCCATACTTCAACACAGGCTGCTTGCCCTATGATCACAAACACAAAATGGGCCTTTATCACTGCTGTGTAGACAAGAATGCTATTGTGTTTGATTTTCTGTCAGGGTCACTTGGATGATCCACTTGGCAGTGTGATGGAGAAATCAAATTGATGACACCATGACCCCCCTGATCAGTGAAACAAGAAAGATCCCGTCAGACACCTGGAGGGCCATCCTTTGCCATTAGCCATTGGCCTTCAACCATTTAGCTGGCAAATCATATAAATTATACAAAGAACTGAAAGAATACGGGAGGACCATTATGAATAATTACATTTTGGTTACCTCTCTGAAGTTGGAAGTCACAGGGAAAAACCTCAGAGTTAGTGTGTCTACTGCGACCTGAATCTTGTTTCCCCTTCATTCACTTCAGAGAGGATGACAAGAAATGTCAGTGGAATCAATGTAATAACAGTGAGACAAGGATGAGAAAGAGACTCACCCCTCTCATCCAAAAAGACCCTATATCACTGCTCCCTGGCTCCCTGCTGTCCAAGGCTCTCATTCTTCTCTGCAGCACATCTCAGGGGCTCATTTTCCCCCGTATAAAGAGTAAGCAAAATACCAGTAGATCAAAATGACAGTTTTGAATGCTATCAGCTGCAGAGACAGTGGGAATTCAGGACAACCATATCTGTAACAGAAGAGGGACAGCAGTGATATGAATATCTTTGCTTTTAATTTGATAGCATAAATGTGCTATGCAATAAGCTGAAAATATTTTGAGAGCCCCCAACTTGAATCTCCGCCAAGTGAATTATTTTTAGTGGAATGTGTTTAGCTTGCTTGTTAAAGATTTAAACCTAGGCAATAATTGCAGTTACTCTTCTGTCTGATTTAAGTAGGCAACATTTATTAATGTACAGTGATTAAGTCAGCTATTCCAAAGTAAGCCATAAGGACTTAAAGCAATGAGGAAACAGGATGATATCCTGGCTGAAGGAAGTCAGCCCTGTGATCTAAAGCATGATCTGATCCATGATAAACAGCCTATTAAGGCAGAGTGAAGGAAACAGAGCTGCAAGTTATGAAGGGGAATTTGATTTATCCCTCTAAAGACAAAGTGATAACTGACTGATCAGAGCAAACTCTGTCATAGATTTTATACACCCAGTTATTTCATGCAGGTCTCCAAACAGCTCTTGTCTTAGAGTAAGTCCATGCAAGAGCTAGATTCAGATTAGGAAAGAGATTCATCCATGATCAAATCCTGATCCATGTTATTATTCTGTGTTCACACATAGACCTTAAATCAGAGTGCAGTATCCTGCATACTCACTCTCTAAAATATCCTGATTGAGCAGAAACGTTCTCTTGCCCTGTCTCTTTTGCAAGTGTTCATGTGTGTACAAGCTCTTTAGCAACAGATAAAACAGGATATAATTACCCTGCATGCTGGGGATGAGGGAAATTGCTTTTGATGATGATATTCTGAATGCCCAGTGATTTTTGCGGAATTGTTCTATGCTGAAGAAAGTAAGTCTGCTTTGATCTCTCTGCTTCACCTATTTGTGAAAAACACCTCATTAGCAGAAGAACTTTCTTCCTAAAGAAGCCTGGTACATATCCAGTGGGTAACAGGATAAATGACTATAATCTTTGAATACACAAGACTATACAGAGTAGGTATTTCATAGCTGCACAAAGCACGTAATTGAACTTCTGCCCTAGGGGTAAGTTTTCCTGCAGTGTAAGTGCTCCAGATGCCATAAAGGGGTCGTGTTCCTTGTCAGGAAAGCAGAGCTTTACATCCAGTTAATTGTTATCCCCAGCTGTCTTTTTTTTTCCCCCATTGAGGCTAGTTTTCCAACAGTCATTCAAGCAAATGTGCTCATTTCCCAGTTCCCCCGCAATTCCCCACCACAGTGTAACAAAGTGCAGATTTTGCATGGCTACATTCCAGACTCTGTGGTGCTAAAATCATAGCAGCAATGGAAAAGCATGTAGCCTCAATAAACATAATGTGAGACTTGAACTAGAGGTGACTCAGTGGTAGTCAAACAGATGCTATATGAAAATAGTTTCTATGTACTGAGTGGTTAACCAATGGAGTTAGTACCCACACACTAGGTTTTCATGGCTTGGTAAGCAGCAAAAATTACTCAGTCTGAATTAAACTGGTGACCTCAACTCAGTTTACTGATTTTGGGTGTCCATCTCAGAACACAGTAACCATAAACAGCAAGTTCTTTCCCATATAATTACTTTGGACTTCATCTTTGGTGTTGATCACATGAAAAAAGGCAACAACCATGTCCATCCAGTATTTGGACCTCTTCAGCTCAGTAGCAAAATATTCACTGATTCGGGACAGCTCAACAGTGGCTGAGAGAGGAAAGTTCAGACCACAACCTGCTACAGAAAAAAAAAATAAAAAAATTGCAAGGAAGACAGTGGACATAATAAAAGGGCAAAACAACCCCTTTATGTTCCTCAAAGTATGAATGAGAAACTCTTGCGTGTGCATTTGCAATCCTGTCCCTTGTTGCCAAGCACTAGCTACCACCTGCTTGGGTTACCAGACCTGTTGGTTCAAGAACATCTTGGGAGACTTCACAGTTCAGGCTGCCAAGCAGCTGACCATTAAACACTCACGCCCAAAGTCTAGGGAAGGATTTTATACCAACTTACTCAATTTTACCAGTATTAGCTCTGGGAGAGACAGCTTCAATCCACTGTAGTTGTGGTTTTCAGACTGTCTTTCAATACAGATACAGTCCTACCTAGATAGCCTTTACCACTCCCTCTTCCCTCAGAAAACAACACGGATTTTTTTAGTAAAAAAAAGATCAGTTAATCTTTGTAATAAGAAGAGGTTGGACATTTACAGCAACCCACTCCTAATCTCTTAGTGCCTATTCTGTAAATTCCCTCAGCAGGGAAACCCACACGATTCTGTGGGCTTCCTCTTGAATGTTGTCACTGCCTTATGACAAAAAGCAAATGTATGTATAATCTTAAAGGCCTGGAGCTACATATTTAGAGCTCAGTCAGCATCTGGGCCTGAAGGTTGTATTTTCCCCAGCAAAGTTCACTAAATTTTTGGAAGAACTGAAAACTACTCTTTTAAATGTTAGTTCGTAAACAAAAAAGAGAAGGGAAGTGCATCATCATCAATATATTCCTCTTTTGAACATGCCTCTCCTAAGCCTCTGTTGGACCAGAAAGCAAACAGGTTGTGCCAAGCCTTCTTCTCTTTGGGGGCTTATGCCAAGGATAGGATTTTGATCTGATGTGCTAGCACACGTAATTCCCAGTCACATCCCCCCTTGCAAGAGGAGGGCAAGGAAAGCCACTTGCTACACTGTGAACTTCTAGGAAACATAGCCAAGCAGCACATCCCTGTGCCCCTCCCTGTGTTGAAACTTCACCAGTTCAGGCAATTTCTTACTCCTGTTGTTGCAATTAACCTTCAGAGAAAATTCTTAACTATAGTCTTATGGCTGTGTGGCACTGATGCAGATGATTAGCCTAGAAACTGTGTCCTTATTGCAATTCTACAGTTGTTTCTCTTCCCTGAATGATATCCTGACCCCTTCCCCCCAGCCTGGGAGTTCTTGCTCACTTAAAATTAAAGGACAATTATCTCCAACAGAGAGGTGATCAAATCTTCTTCCTTAACTGGGACACTGGAAATTAAAAAGTCCTCCCCTCACCCAGTGCTGCTCCTGAGACATCCTGCAGAAAATCAGGCACAGTTTTACCTATAATCTGTCCCAATATGCTAAACATTTTGAAGAAAAAAGCCTGGGTCAGCATTATCTCTGACAGCCAGAACATGATATGCTTGGATGAGGAGTTTGGGGGGAAGGAGGGGGAGGGATCAGCTTCTCTGGGATCTGTGTTTGGCTTCTCTTCATACACCTGCCTCCAAGCACAGACTCCCACCCAACCCCAGTGTTCCACACAGCCCCTCTCCCCTCTAAATCAGTACTGTTTCATACTCACCATGTCATAAACATTCAGAATCACCGGTTCATTTGCCATTGTTGATTGCAGTAGAGGCTGGATTAAAACCTTTAGGTCCCTGCCAGATGTGTGTTGCTGCCCCCAGGGTATGCTTTTACCCTGAGCCAGATAGAAGGAAATGCCTCATCCTACAGTCTCTGAAGGAAGGAGCATGGAGGGAGGAGGAAAGGAGGGAATTCTCGTGGTTGAGGGGGTAAAGTTGGTTGCAGGAAAGGCAGGAAAGCTTGAGCTGGGTTTGCTGGTTTTATAGGGTTTATTTGACCCTTCCACAGCACGACAGATCCGAGGTTTCTTTCTAACTCTGTAGTGCGCCTCAGTGTCTGTAGACTTACATACCACTGTAACCAGGCACCGTCCACACTTATAAATCCCGATCCACAGAAGACAAACAGACCCCGAGCCCAAAGATAAGCCCTCTTCTGGCACCTTGAGAGA